ATATATATATATATATATATAAAGCGGGAAAAGTAGTTCGGAGCCATCAAGGCTTGAATAATGGTTGGTGTTTATTAACTTACTCCAAACGTATATTGTGTTCATTCACTGTAAGTGACAAGTTCACTTACATTAATACATGCTGGGGATATTATTCATTCACCTCAAAGCAGTGTTTATAAAATTGCATTATGGCATGTGCCAATGAGCTGTCCGAGGTATAGGCAATTTTAAATTCTCATGTGAGAGCATATATCAAAAGCATGGACGGCTCAAACAAACACCTGTGGAGTTTGGTGAAATGTACGTACACTTCAGTACAGTGCAGTTCAATCTGACCGAAATTATTGAAAAGGCCGACGAGTGGTATCGACCACAAACAGTTGCTGAACAACAGTCTAAGCATTAAAAACTGTGAAAAGTCACTGCCATATGTTGCAGTTGAAAAACATTTTTTTTAATTAAACATTTACTTTTCTTTTTTGCTTTCGGGTAGGCCTAGCCCCATTTGTGTATCTTGAGCGATGATGACAGAGTCGATTGGTGAGAAATCACGGAGCGTAACAACATGTGTCACGCAACGAAATTTAGCAAATAAGATAAGAAAACCTTTATATCCAATGGAGAAATTCCCATAATAATAATGAGAAGAACTCTCAGTAAACGTTACAATAATTACATTTTACACCTTAGATTATTACCGGTAATCGAAACACGGTTGAGACAGCGCGAACCCTTGTGTCCATCTGGTTTGTAAAATGTGCAGCCAGAAGAAAACAATGAGACTCATGGCCTCGAAATGATTTCATGTCGTTGAAAATTCTTTATTCACAAGACAGAAGTGATAGAAGAAGAAATATGTAATCTGCACAAATGTTGTCTTTATATTCTTATTCTTATTCTTTAATAATAAATAGGTATATCTAAGGAACCTATCTGACCGGAATTGCTGGAGATATTACGCTTGCCTTGGAAAAATAAATAGGAACGAGCGGTCAACGCCAAATAATTTCCCATTTAGGAGCCCTAACGGGGTCCATCAAAAATATATTTTTGAGTTAGTTATGTTGTTGTTGTTGTTGTGGTTGTTGTTGGGTGGGGGTGGGGGGCGCAGGTGAATTGACTCACATTCGAGCAACTGTTAACACCTATACGTGAAAAAGCATATTTCGATCATTTTGTGTGTGTGGCCGTTTATAGTCATGACACAACGTGCCTCAAGTCCATTTTAAGAAAGAAGCATGGAGAGAGCTTATAAAGATGATTATGATGTGTCATATGTCCAACACTGCTGACGGTTAATATTTAAAATCATGCTTATCGAAGGTTAGTTGGAATCCATCCAACCTATTCTGCACAACCTATACGAGCTTTCCTCAGAAGTGCTGTCTCTTCGAGTACGCACAGAATGCACAGACCTACCTACTGTATATTCTTATTTAATCTTATTTTATATTTTAAATGAACATAGCTGTCCAAAATTTGATTATTTTTCACACTTGAAATCGCTCTTTTGCTCTTTTTTATTTAAACTCTAAGTTGACACTTTATCCCAGAATTGCACTTGCCGTCATGGTGATGAAGTGATAAATAAGTATTTGTGATGATCCACCGCTATATTGATCCATATCTTCCACGCACGTCAGCAACCTGATCATCTGTAACTCGGGTAAAAATATGATGGCGTATGATTGATTACACCATTACAATATGTTGAGAGGTGTGGGTATTTTTACTTCTAGTAAATACTGACATGACGAGATGGTCTTGGCTCGTAAATGATCCAAGGCCTTTTTTATGCGTGTGTGTGTGTGTGTGTGTGTGTGTGTGTGTGTGTGTGTGTGTGTGTGTGTGTGTGTGTGTGTGTGTGAGTGCGTGAATGCGCGCGTGCGCATGTGTGTGTTTGTGTGTGTGTGTGGGGGCGGGGGGGTCTTTGCTCAGCGATATCTACAACTGCACTCGCTCGGGCACACTAAGCTCTCTCTGCTGTTGTTGTAAACATATAACAACTATTAACTTTAAAATTATTGAGCACAATAGATTCATACAATGAGACATATAAAAGCACACAAATATATGTAATGGAAATATTTATTTCTAAAATACAATTTAACACACGTTTTTAATAACAATTTTGTCATTTGAATGCCAGAAAATACATTTTTTTATGTACATGGTTTTGATATTTACATGGTGGTGTCCAACATGCTGTGCAATCAATTCATGTGTGTTGACAGTGTCCACGTTTGGATATTGTCCATGCATAAAAATGCTGACTCCTCTCCTTGTGTCCATTTGTTTCATGATTTTTTTTTCTGTTTGTTTTTTTTATTTCTGTCCAGACCTAGAAGTCCTGGTGTGGGCTGTGCGTCAAACTGTGCCGTCGCAAGTCACAGTTGCGCCGAAACACCTTTCCGCAGCGGCCACAGCTGTAGGGCTTGATGTCTGTATGGGTGAGAAGGTGAGTTTTCAGGTTACTTCTTTGATTAAAGGTTCTTCCGCATGTGGGGCATTTGTGGGGAGACTCCTGTTTAGATTTAAAGCAAGCAAAGGATTATTCCTTTCAATTATATAGTACTTTGATCATGAATATCTTTCCAAAATGATAACTCATGCCGATTTGCAACGTTAAATATGTTTTGTATTTGTACGTGAATTACCGCAGCGGACTTTCTAACATCCCCACGCATACAGCGGGCCGTACATGACGTGCGGATTTATGCTCATAAATTAATAAAATGTGCGTATCAATATTTTTGTGATATTGCCATCTCACCTGCATGTGCAAGGTTTTGTGGACTGCTAGAGTTCGGGACTGGCAGAATCCCTTCCCACACTCTTGACATTTGAATGGCTTTTCCTTGGAGTGGATGTATCTGTAAAACAGAGATAACAATTATTGATGCACCAGACGGCAATGGTTTGCGTAGCCGTGAGAAGCTGCCTCGTCATTAAAAAAAAAAAAAAAAACTATAATAATAAAGTGGCCATCATCTGCAAAAGTCTGAATTGTGCGTGCGCGCGCTTACGCAGACAGCTGTCATATACGTCACGATCTATGTGACTTCATCCATACTTCATGTTATTGTAATTACGGGATAAGGAAAGCGGTGGGTCAGGCGGTACCTGTGATCTCTGAGGTGGTCCTGTCTTCTGAAGGCCTTGTGGCAAATGTCACAGGTGTAGGGCCGCTCGTCCGTGTGGGTCCTTTCGTGGATGAGGAGGTTGTAGGACTTGGTGAAATGCCTGCCGCAGAACTTGCAAATAAATTCCTTTTTAGTCTTGGACGGGAGCCTGCCCCTAGTGGGTTTTCTGTCCGGAGACAGCTTGTTCAGCTCGGTTATGGTTCCTCCTAGTCCCGACGCCAGCTTGGCCAAATCCGCAGCCTTCGGCGGGTCCTCCTGCGTTGCGGCCAGGGCCAGATTAGCGAAGTCGAACCTCGGCCTGTCCTTGTGCAGCGAGGGCACGCCGTGCGTGACCGAAGCTTGTTTTGGATGGAAGAGCTGCGCGGCGGCGGTGAAGGGCAAAGCTTGGAATGGAATCCTGGGGTCCATCAAGCCCTGGGCGGCTGCCATTTCTGTGATAGTCGATCTCAGTCCTTGGATGTGCGGGTAGCCAAGAGTCCAATGGTTCATATGCATGGTGTGCACCGCGCTGAGGCCGTACAGTCCTTGCAGCTGGTCGGCCGGGAACGTGTTGACGGCCTGCAGGAAGGAGTAGTTAGTGAGCTGCAGGGGCGGGTGCAGGGGGATCGGAGCGTGCAGAGCTTTGCTCCCCATCGCGGCTCACACTTGTGCAGAGGAC